GTGTACGACTTATAAGTCTACAACATACTTCAAATCGACTCTGCCATATCAAACAGTAAATTAATATCACAAAAAAACATCAAATATATCTCCCGTATAATATCTCAACCAATTTTGTGTATGTTTGGTCGATAAAAATACGATCGATTTTCAAAAATCACTCTAATATCGTACTAAAAGATCGACATCTACCAAAATCAAGTGATTATTAAGCCCAGTGAAACGAATAATAATATCAAATGAATCACCTGCTATATCCAATAATACTATAACAACTCTCCTTCAAGAACACAACATCTAATTGTTATCTTAAATAATCCACATCAATGCCTGTTTAAATATAAAATAATTAGTTCACACCTTCAGCTTCATAAACATAAATTCTACATAAACTCTGATAATTTCTCCAAGTTTCCGAGTTACCTGCTCATCAATTGCAATAATACACCCGACACCGTACATAATTTTTCTAATAGACGATGCTCTTTCCTGCTATGCATTCAAGCTCACAGGACACACCTCCGAGCAATGTAAAAATACACATCTTGAAGTCCCTAAGACCAATAATCTCAACCCATCTGATTATACTGATCCTATAATAATTACAACCTAGAGGACACAGACGACCAATTAGTTTCTTACGAAATATCCGTTGATATTTTCTTAGAAAATAAAACAGATGGTATAAATTCAAATCATATAACCCACACAATCCTTCAAGCGAACTACACAATTCCGTTCCTCACAAGTCACAACACATTAATGAACCTGATAAGTGATAACTAAACAATAAGGCCAATCAAAAGACCAGCAATTATTTCGACATTCTAGTGTCTAATTAGTAAGTTATCTCCCCCGTATCCCTGTCACGCTAGTCACAAACACTAATGGCATCAAGTTATCAACACACCTACGCCAAAATCCAACAAAGTACGTCATTTAAAAAATACAGTGTGTGCTGCCTCTGAGTCAGCGGTGGTGTATGCATTCTCATAAACAACATTTACCCTTGGGAAAATCCCAATATCTTCAAAGCTTGAGGTAGTACTATACCTATACACTATAAAGTATATACTGGTTAATAATGGTTGGTTCTGCTAAACATAAATTTGCTTTGTTGCACGTGGGACATAAAAAGTAAACAAATAGTGCGTAGACATCCTCTCAATAGTGTCATCAAGTTGAACAAAAAAGTAAGAAAAGACGTATTTCTATGTCAAATTGTCAAACCATCGATTTCTGATCTCTTTTACCCTTGCGTCAGAACCAACCCAGTGTAGTATGTTGTTACTATTAATAATAAAAAAATATAAATAAACTACAATATATTATAATTTATAATAATTCTAAAATATAAAATTAAAAATCAAGTCGAAAGTCTAAAGTTATCAAGTCGAAAATCTGTAGAATTTTGACAGTTGACATGAACTGTGATTGAAATATTAAATACGAAAGTATGATAGAAAGTTATAGTAATATATTTCTTATATTCATTTTTAGTTTTTATGAGCGGGTGTACTGCTAATGGGAAAATGTTTTTCCACTACTTCGTTCATATAATTTTAAATACCATCGTATAACAAATACTTGTTCGAACTACTTGTCCGAAATTTGATTACTATAATCTCCATAAGTATTCCAAAAAATATTTTGCTTTAGAATATAAAAAAAAAATAATGAAATAATGATATTGTCTTGCAATAAATTTATCACGCCATATAAAATAACTTTAAAAACAATTTTTTTTATTTTTGACCCTAGTTACACTTTATTCGTAATAATTAGACAATTTTTACCCTTGTAATAATTTTTATAAATTTGTATTTTCAATAGAAATTAAACAAAATTAGTATATTGAAATGATATTTTAATAAAAAAACGTTTGTCAAAGATAAAAAATAATATCAAAACATGTTCGATAAACATGTAACATGTTTAATAAAAGTTAAAAGATTTTAGATACATAATAATAAATTAATCACAGCACATTGTTTAACTTAGATGAATGATAACATTCTATTTATTCATTAATCTAAGAAATTAAATGAAATAACTAGTCCTATAGTAATTTGTTGAGATCAGAGAAAAACTGTGATTAGGCCCTATAAAAAATGTGTTACAAGATTAGAAGCAACTAATTGTAATATTTATGTATTTAACTAAATATGTACCAGGTTAAAAAAATAAACCTGAAATTGGTGTATAATAGTTGTAGGTACGGATACTCTTTTACCTGTGTAAAAATGTATGTTAAAGTTTCTGTATGTAATTTTCCTTTGGCATGGTTGAAACACTATTCGTAAGCCAATACATAACGTCGCAATAGGAAATATAATAATATAAATAATAATATGTGTTAATAACTAATACAAAATAATAAGAATACAGTTGGGGCTTGGTGTGGCGCGGTGATTGGTTGAAGTCCCTAATGGGTGTCAATCATCGGCCGTTGTAGCTAGCATCCGGATGGGTAACCACCTGGGTGTTTATTGACGAATCCTAGCTCCACATATGCACGTGTTACTCAAGCACAACCGTGACCCCTACAAAAAAAAATCCAAATTGTTTATATTAATTTAACAAATAAATTGAATAAAATCGCTGAAAATTACGATTATTTTAGTCGGTTATGGCAGTTGATGGGGAGAAAGTTTATCATCCAGATAACGCTCAAAGAATTCACAATACAATTATTTCAATACGTTATTCAGTTGCTTCTCATCTAGACATCTTCCTAGAATGTTTACAAAACATATGAAACTTAAATAATTAATAAAAAGATATTGCTTTGAGAAAGACGTTTCACCTGAATGCGAGGTCTCCAATAAGTTCAAATGCGTCGTACAACTGTACAAGTATGAAACATATCAAATTTTAGATAAGCAGTTATCATTCACCTTCGTTGATTCCAAATAATAATAATCACTCTAATATTAAAACTTTCATTGCTAAATGAGATCTGCTGATATCGATGAGCACTTGTAACACGGAGCCAATACATGCTTATAAATACTAACTAGTTACTTCTTAAAAGTACATCCAAATATCCAATCATACTTTCAAGTTGAAGCGCATATAAAAGTCTTTATCACTATTCGCATGTATTGTATGCTTCAAGTTGTTTGAAGTTGTAATAATTAAACAAAAAAAGTTCAACATAATATTCAAATTCATTGACCGAAAATCATACTCAAAACAATTAGTTCAATAAACAATGATTTTTTCGAAACCACTTACTGTATTCCAAAGTTTAAAAAATGTAAATAACAAAAAATCAACTTAAATAAGATATGAATTTTAAAAATGTTAAAGAGAGCATGGGCGCTGGCAGGCAAATGCATTTTAAGAATCATAAAATAAAAAAAAAAGTTCAACTTGATAAGCGGACACAAAAATAGAAAACCAAATAAGGATTTTTTTACTATTTATTATTTTTTTTTTTTTCAAAAATTTAACTCTAATTCAATTTTTTTAAAACATTTTTTAAATTTTAATAACCATAAACTGCATTATAAAAATGCATTGTTTCATGATCTAATTATTGTAAATAAAGCTATGAGTTTAGGAATATAGATATTGTAGACTGCAGTCTTTAATATTTCTTTTCAATGTACATTTTTTAATAAATTTATTTTATTTTCATTCTTCAAATTCATTTGCCTGCGGGCGCCCATGTCCCACTTCAAATTTTTATTTTCAAATTAAACTCTAGTTCAATTTTTTAAGAACATTTATTAAATTTTGATAACCATAAACTGCATTATAAAAATTCATTGTTTCATGATCTAACTATTGTAAATAAAGCTTAAAAGTTTAGGAATACTGATATTGTAGACTGCAGTCTTTAATATTTTTTTTTTTATGTACATTTTTTCATAAATTTTTTTTATTTGATTCTTAAAATTCATTTGCCCGCGGGCGCCCATGCCCCCTTCCCATTTTTATTTTTAAATTTGAATTCTATCAAATTTTTTTATTTTGATTCCTAAAATTAATTTGCCTGCTGGCACCCATGCCCCCCTTCCCACTAATGTACTGTACTTCTCACCACCCTAGTAACTATAGTCATTCAATGGAAAACTTTAAACTTTGAATATTTATAAGTTACAACTAATTAACTGCTAGTTTTAAATTCTATTTTTATACACTGAAATTGTCAAAACAAATTTCAGTTTCGGAATAATATTATAAGTTATTAAAATGAAAAATAATTTATGACATTAAATAGAAAAAAAAAATTTTTTTCAAAATGCGGTTTTGTAACGATTTTGTAAACTAATTGTTTAAACAACATTTCCAAAAACTGTTGAGGTTTTCCAGAAAATTAGAGTTTATATATGTACCGTTGTAAGAATCCCATTGTATATACCTACTTCTACCTCGGAAAATTGCCGAGATAAATTATATCGCAAACTAGGTAAGAGAAGAATCAAGACTCTCTGCATAATTAACTAACCAAAAACTTTACTTTCGGAAGAAAATTCCAAAGAAAAGGTTGGTATAATTATTAATATTTAATCAACAATTTAATATTTCATTAAAAATAATTAATATTATTACATTTTAAACATTGCATTAAATTTGATGAAAATGAGGATAATTCAAGTAACCGAGGACGAAAAATTGAATCAACAGTATTAGCCAACGCAATTGCGTAATTCCTCAATTTATGTTTCTCACGAACAACATTCGACATGTAATGAGTTATTTAAAGATGAAAATTAATCTGAGATACAAACAAAGAAATTGATGATGCGAAAAACTCTGTGAATACGTATGACGACTATAATAGAGACATACACGAAGGTGAAAATAAGGACGAAGTAGATAAAATTTCATGATTCGGGTAGTTGCAGAAAAGTTTACATTTGGCGAGATATTGAAAAATTGTTATTTATGATATTATTGATATTAATGTTCATTTATTATTTTTTTAACAACAATTACATAAATATTTTTCGTATGCATTAGGCACATAATTTTCAACAATACCGCAGCGATTATATGGTCACGGATTTGCTTACTCTCTTTCTCTCGCCAGGTGGCTTCAGAACAACAGACTTTAAGATCTCAGTGGTTATTGGGATCCTCCCATACACTTTCTCAACTTTCGCTGTCGAGGAAGAGCTTGATTTTTCTGAATCCGATTTTTTCGAAGTATTCTGAGACAACGGCGCCGGGGGTGCGGGTGGCAGTGGTTGACAAAATGCACTAGTCGACGGGGGTGCAGGTGGCGGTGGAGGCACAAATGCACTTGGCGCCGGGGGTGCAGGTGGCGATGGAGGCGAAACTGTTCCACTCGGCCCAGTCGGCCCGGGTTTTGCCATTGGTGGCATATCATAATAAGATGAAGCTGCAGCGAATGCAGCTGGTTCGCCGTAACAGCGGTTATCGGAAGGAAACATTCCAGCGGACCCGAAGGATTGTGGTCTAGTCCACTCCAACGAACGATGTGAATAGTTCATACCGACGATGTGTGATGTGTTTTTCATTACATCTCCTACACACATACATATCGTACACATAAAAAAAAAATTGTTAAATAAGAACTATAAAATTGATTCATGAGTATACATCAAAATAACATAGACAATATATACTTTCTAGGGTTGCAATCCGAGCCTTAATTTCACTACATTCGTGCATCGGATTTTCCAGTCTAGTCGATTCCAACGAACGATGTGAATGGTTCATACCGATGATGTGTGAAGTGTTTTTCATTACATCTCCTGCACACATACATATTGTACACACATAAAAAAATATGTTAAGTAAAAACTATAAAATTGATTCATGCAGTAGGTATACATCAAAATGACATAAACAATGTATATCATACTTTCTAGGGTTGCAATCCTAGTCTTAATATCATTATATTTGCGCATCGGCTTCTCTGAGTTACCTTTATACAAACAAACATCATAAATCATAATATATAATATATGATAATGACATACGTGTTTTAGATAAAAATTACTAATTACTTTCTAATGAAATCAATTTATTTTCCATCTCGTGGAAACAGGTATTCAACATTCCATAACTGTGTTTGATACTTTTAACGTCACAACCAATGGTCATGAATTCATCGTCAATTTTTTCCATCAACGATTGTTGGTAATTTGACAATTTGGTATCTACCTTGTTGTTTAAATCTTGCACTGTGGATAGGGACAATTCACTCTCGGTCTGAGTGTGTGCAGATTGTGTCAACTTCGATAACATAAGATCTTCAAGTCGACGCAACTGCAGAATGCGAAATAAAATAATTCTTCACTTAGGTTATAAATTAATTTAGCCCTGGTCAAGTCTATGATCATTTTTAATTGAGTTAAGATGACGTATCGGTACCCACGTGTATTGTCTTAATCTTCCAAGTACGTAACATAGACTGCAGTTGTACGCTTAGCAGATCACGTTTAGGTCTGGGATATTAGAAATTAAAGTGAAAAAAAACTAAAGCTAAGATAGTAATGTATATCTTAAAATACTCATATCCTGGTTTAAAATTAAAATATAATAAAAAGCCTAAGCGATGTCTTAGATAATAATCTAAGATGCAAATTGTATAAGAGGTCAATTCATTCTAATGTTTAAGCTAGCGAAGCTTTACTAGTAACTTACAGTTACTTTACTGCTGAATGTAACATTTGCTGGGTATATGTTATGCACTTGTAAGACTAAAAAAATAAACAAGACTTTGTTACACTTGTAACCACACATGAGGGTATACTAATGTGTATAACTTCCTCATAAATTGATAGAAAAATTTTTAAGAAATTTTAAGTTAATTATAGTTATCCTTTTTTTTGAAAATCAGGTAAAATTAATTTATTTACTTCAGTAAGTTATATAAAAAAATATACATAGGAAGAACGCCTGCAACCTTAACATCTAACATGCCTTAAAATAATAAAAATAATAAATATTATTGACAATATTGGCTGTTTATAAACATAAACATTGGACAACCCAATTCTGTTCAACTTTTAATTTAAAAACTTAAAATAGTTACAACTTATTTATGTCATTTTATACCAATATGAAGAAAATATTTTATAATATTGTGTTCTTAAGAATCGTACATTTGTACCTACCTATGTATCATGTTAGTATTTATTTTTATAAGCATGCAATATTATGCTTCATTAAAAATATTATTATTAAAGTATGCCCGTACGCCGTGTTATGGTATGGGTATATATATGTATGTATTTAATTCAGTTATTTTTATAGGGAAATTATTCTGATTAACGGAACAAGAATTCAATTCAATTTTTAATTCCTATAATTTTAGTAAAATGTAATGTTTATGCGATTTGCATTATCAATAATCATTGCTACATTATATTTATAAATTAATGTAACTTGGATTTTATCAAAAGTAACTTCTTATTTATTCAGTTTATATCAATAAGAATTAGTTAGGTAAGTAAAAAATTAAGTAAATGAAAATTTTATTTGAAATAGAGGTCAGCTTTTTTTTTTTAAATGTTTAACTACGCTCTGCTTGTACGTACATTATGGGCTATAGGTGTTAAGGGAGTCGCTGTAATGGGATGTTAAATTTAAATTGTATACGAAATACGATTCTGAAATAACACGGTCTCTGACGGCCTATAATAACCCTAAGTATGTATATTTTGTAATATTGTGATTGAAGTAATTTTACTGTATAATAATAGGCATTATACTATAATAGTACTAAAGTAAGTTAAATTCATTTTTGTCTAAAAAATTTAATTCGAAAATGTCATTAGGTGTATAAAATAAAAAATAAGCCAATTTTATGTTTCAAGTAAGTACCCACGAATAATATTTTTAAATTACAATTTACAACATAATAACTAAACAATATTTATACCAAAGTAAGCCAAATTTGTATTTATGATTTATATTTACTGAACAATGTCAAACAATAATGTATCGTTACCTATTTTTTTTAGTTTTTATGAAATAGGTTTGGTAGGGTAGGCGTTTGGGGGTATGGGGGCGTAGCCCTCACGGATCTGCGTCCTCTGCATAATTTTAGCACCCCCAGTGTTTGGTCAATAATTGCACCTATGACGTACGCTCGGAGTGTTGCCGCAGATTGAGCAAACGGCCGCGCCTCACCAAGCCACTATAATATCAGTCTAGCTTTTATAATCGGCTTACGCCGCTTAAATAACTTTAATTTATAACTGGCACAAATTTTGGTCTCAAAAAATGTGCTGTTAGAATTTGTTTAGGTTTTTTTCTGACTTCCACTTTGTACATTCAATTTTTAAATTCTCCAATAGATTGTATATTCGTAAAAATTCTTTGGAATTACGTTCGTACGAAGTGGACGGCTGTAACCGGTACGACGGACTTAGCTCGCAGATGGCAGAGTTCCAGTGACTTCTGCAGAACCTAATGGCTGCTCGCCTGGCGTGCTGCTATTAAAGTCCGTCAATGCCTACAGTCCGAACCTGGGTCCGATTACTCGGTGGCGTCAACGACGTGGAGTAACATACAAATCTATTAGAATTTATTATTTGAATGCTCATCTGTGTTAATGTTTATAGCGTTTAATGACTCATCATTATTGTTTCAGTTATTTTCAATCATAAATCTTTAAAACAACCATGAACCAATCGCGATTATAACTTGGGACTTGGTGCCATATTATGTAACTGGTCTCAAAACAATTTTCGTTACATATTTGTCCTAGTAATTTTACCAACCACTGCTTTGTACTTACAATTTTTAAATTCTTAGGAACTACATTTCTGATTGTTTATTTGTGAGGGATGCTTATTATTTTCTGAACCTTCGTCAATGACATATCGTGTCAATATAAAATTCTTGCACACAATCCTTGGCACTTAGATTTCCCTAATATCCTCTCGTAAATCGATGATTTGTATTTATTGAGATACTATGGATACTTAATGAAATATACTTCAAATCGTTATAAAATTATCGTTCTAATATTTAGTATACCACGTATGAAGCCATGTAGGGCATACTCATAATATGAGATTTCTAAAGATTATTAAATTACCCGAAATAGCAAATAGGAGATAATAATAATTATAATATGAAAATTTCCATCCATTCCGAAGTAAAAAATACTAAAAATATATTTTGATTAATATTATAGATAGGTAATATGTAAGTTACTTGTAGATCTTGAATTTTTTGTTTTTCATCACCGCGTCGAATCATTTCTACATAATAATGATTATTTTAGATACATATTTGTTTAATATTCGAAAATATTAATATTAGATAGGTATCCGTCATATTATTATGAAACAACTACCTTCCAACTCGGTCAATCTATTTTCCAATTGCAGATTTATTTCTATCACTTTTTGAAACTGTTCAATGTCAATACTACCGGATACAGCTGCCGGGTCTAAATGGACTTGAACACATGCGTTGATAGATTTATCACTCACGCTTACCTAAAGCATAATAATAAATAATAATCACATTATATTTTATGGTACCAACGACCTACATCGAATAGATGCATCGTTCGACCCTATATTATTATTATTAAAACATTTTACCAATTTCTTTGGCATGTTCTTCCGTGCGTCATAAAACGATTCAATCAGATGTCTCGTGTGTAAAAATGCAAACATCCCGACAACACTAACACGTACGACTCCTATGATAGAACAATTAAACTCATAAATCATAATATTCGAAATGCAAATGCTTATTAAGTCAGAACTGAGCACTCGGGCAAACTAAATTGCAATTTACACATTGTGTACAAGTATAGTATACGTTGTTAGGTTTTCTTATTCCAGCCAGGAGACAAATAGTATAATTATTTTTAATCTCCTATGCGGTATGAGGAACGTGGTATAACATTTTCAAGACTTTTGTTCCAACGATTTTTTTAATCGACATTAATTTTAAAAAAAATAATAAAAATCTAAAATTGTATATACCTACCTATAACTCGTTCAACATAATCATTGAGCATAATGAGTCAAAATATTTTAAAAGTTTTCTGATTTAAATCTATTATGCCTATAAATAGCTCATAATTCAAAAATTGTGTAATACATAATTATTACTAATATAATTTAGTGAAAATTGTATGTACCTACTTTTTACGGGGTTTTTTTAGAGTTCCACTAGAAACAAAATTGATTTCAATTTTTCCGAACTATAAAACTTATACTCGTAGGTCCTTGGTATTTCATGACGCCTTAAAAACTATTAGGAACTTTTCACTTTTGACGCTCCAGCTAGAGTACCTATTAGATTTACTTTCCTAGTTTTCATTTCGAGTCTGCGGGCGCCCATGACCCCCTTCCCATTTTTATTTTTAAAATTTAATTCTATCAAGTTTTTTTAAAAAATTTTTTATGTTGATTCTTAAAATTTATTTTCCTAGGTCGCCCATGCCCCCCTTCAAATTTTTTTTCTATAATTTAACCCTAGTTCAATTTTTAAAAAACATTTTTTAATTTTTGATAACCATATACTGCATTATAAAAATGCATTATTTCATGATCTAACTATTGTAAATAAGGCTATGAGTTTAGGCATACTGATATTGTAAACTGCAGTAGAGTACATTAGTGGAAGGGGGCATGGGCGAAAGCGGGCAAATGAATTTTAAGAATCAAAATAAAAAAAAATTTTAAAAAAATATGATAGAATTTAAATTTAAAAATAAAAATGGGAAGGGGGGCATGGGCGCCCGCGGGCAATTGAATTATAAGAATTAAATAAAAAAAAATTATGAAAAAATGTACATTAAAAACAAATATTAAAGACTGCAGTCTACAATATCACTATTCTTAAACTCATAGCTTTTTTTTCAATAATTGGATCATGAAACAATGAATTTTTATAAGGTACAAACTTGTTATCGGATTCAGACAAATCAAGCTCTTCCTCGACAGCGAAAGTTGAGAAAGTGTATGGGAGGATCCCAATAACCACTGAGATCCTAAAGTCTGTTGTTCTGAAGCCACCTGACGAGAGGAAGAGAGTAAGCAAATCCGTGACCATATAATCGCTGCGGTATTGTTGAAAATTATGTGCCTAATGCATATAAAAAATATGTATGTAATTGCTGTTAAAAAAAATAATAAATGAACATTAATATCAATAATATCATAAATAACAATTTTTCAATATAGGGACATTAAGTAGGCAATAAAAATAAAGTTAAGTGACGTCACGCGTTTTGCATTATAACAGTACAATAAATATTATTACAAATAATAATAATATTAAATAATATAAAAATATTATTAGATATTATTATTTTACAAATTTCTGTATTTTTTTTCTTTTGTTGATTGATGGTATGTAGTTTTTGGTTTTGTTTTTTATTTATTTCCCTAATTCTAAAGAATATTCTTGTTTGAATAATTGAATTTAGGACATCATCTGGTATCATGTATGTTGATTGTCGACATGTATCTTTTGTCATTGTCCTTAATTCAGATATAATTCCTGCTGTTTTTTTAATGTCATCTAAAAAATACAAATACTTTTATTACCTAAGTGTCTTTGTCTTATACAAAAATATAAATTGTATTTTGTTATAATGTAATATGTCTGAATATTATAATATGTACGTGTACTTATATATAGCGTGTCTTTCATACAGCTTGGTCTTTCACAAGCTTGAACCCACTTTTTTGTAAGTATTTCATTTTTTGGAAATGAAAAATATCTAACTGAATCTATAACAATTACATTTTATTTATGCTAAAATTAAAATAAAAAACAGGACATTTTTGGTTAATTCTGTTTTGAAGATAGAAAACGACTGAGTACTAATTCATTATTATTCATGTTTCTCATAACTAAATTTATTGTTTTACAGTACCTAGTTGTACTAAAAATTAATAATTTACATTTCTATGCATTTGAATTTGAAACTGAGTTAGTTTAATATCAAACATTTAGATTTATACAACAAATATAAGTCCTTAATTATAATGATATTTATAAATAGTTCAAATTTGTAAAAGTGTAGAACAACAACACTAAGTGGTTATATTTAAAATTGAATTTTGAATATTTATTTTATTATGATATGAATGACCATGAGGTGTATAGCATAAATTAATAAAAAATATAAAACATTTTTTCAATTAAATTTAAATTTGGTTCGTACAGATAAAAACTTATTCAGAAAATTGTCGATACAGAAATAATATTACCGTATTTAAAACAATGAACAGGTTAGGTTAATTCATTGAGTTTTAGATGTTGATAAAAAAAACACGATTTATAAAAAAAACTGACATGTATAGAATCCGGTTAGTATTTGTATTACGTGTCTTTCACAGCTCTTGGGTATGTGCACAGAATCTTTAATATATCCTTTAGATCTTACTATCGTTTTATTAAATTTAATGAAAACTTCAATATCAGTTAAAAGATTATTTAATACTTATAATATCTTAGATTTATCATCATTTTGATGTTTTCCTATTTAATATTATCGATCAAATAATATTATTTGTATTTATTAATTGTGTAACAGTAATGTGAAGTTCAACAAAATACAATTAGGTATTATGTTTTTTGAATTTTGTTTATAAAAAGTACCTAAATAAAGTATATTATAGTATTAAATATTACAAGGTCTGGGTAACTTAAAGAAATCGCTTGCAAATATATCCAATAATTAATTTCCACTATACGATGGTACAAATTTGAAATTCAAATTAATCTACTTGTTGGTCGAATTTCATAATAATTTATCGGAGTAATATGTATATTATATAAGGTTCTATTGAATATAATACAATCATCATAGCTGCCTTTTAGTTTTAATGTTAATTTATTGACAGTAAATTACTTTACAAAATTGATGATTTTTAGTTGGGTACCTACTTCAGCTTAATTAATACATTTTTTTCTAAATTTAGCTCATGTATATTTTGCACTTTATTTATAGTTTTTTTTTGTACATACTTTTTATATTGTGTACCAAATACACATAAATAAATCATAAATGCTTAGAAGAGTCAACTACTAATTAAAACTACGTATAGAGTCTTTTTTGAAAGCGTTAATTGTTGAAATAATTATGAGACTGCTATGCAGCGCATGCTTAAAAAATAAAGTATTTCTTGAAGTTAGGTTAGAAAAATTAGCAATGAAAACACACGCAAAAAAAATTCCACTTAATTGGATTCGTACTTATATTTTTAATTTGAACCTTTTTAATACCAATAATATTATGAATCAATTTCACGGGAAAACTAGGATAATGATCTGACGTGATGTATATTTTGTTCATCGTGTAATCCACATTCCTCGTGGAATCATTTCAACGAGATGGAGTTCTGTCAGTGATATTAAAGACTGCAGTCTACAATATCAATATTCCTAAACTCATAGCTTTATTTACAATAGTTAGATTATGAAACAATGAATTTTTATAAGGCACTAACTGGTTATCAAAATTTGAAAAATGTTTTTAAAAATTTGAACTGGAGTTAAAATATAGAAAAAAAATGGGAAGGGGGCATGGGCGCCCGCAGGCAAATGAAATTTAAGAATCAAAATAAAAAAAAATTATAAAAAAATTTGATAAAATTTAAATTTAAAAATAAAAATGGGAAGGGGTTCATGGGCACCCGTGGGCAAATGAATTTTAAGAATCAAATAAAAAAAATGTATGAAAAAATGTAGGTACATAAAAAACAAATATTAAAGACTGCAGTCTACAATATCACTATTCCTAAACTCATAGATTTTTTCAATAATAAGATCATGAAACAATGAATTTTTATAAGGTACTAACCTGTTATTAAAATTTAAAAAATGTTTTATAAAATTGAACTAGAGTTAAATTATAGAAAAAAAATTTGAAGAGGGGCATGGGCGCCCGCGGGCAAATGAATTTTAAGAATCAATATAAAAAAAAATTATCAAAAAATGTACATTAAAAACAAATATTAAAGACTGCAGTCTATGATATCAGTACAAATGTGAAAAAATATGATCAGAGTTCATCGACTTAACCTTAGTGCAATAAAATAATGTGCTAATTGAATGAAAGTTATTATGGATACAAAAAATTAAAGTGAAAGAGGTCTAAGGGCTCTTTTACGTTAAAGCTATTTTTGACTTAAATAGTTTAATGTTTGAATTAAAATAATATTGTTTTTCAAACTGTAACCAGCATACATTTTAAAAAAGTATACAAAAAATTCAAGTATAATAATATTTTTATTTTTATTTTGGTCTTAGTAAATATGTTAGAAAAAATAGATTAAGTGCAATGTGGAAAGAAGTGAGAAGAAAACATATTGGAAATTTTAAGACAATATAATTTTAATACACTAAACCATATTTTATGTCAAAACTGATGAATAAATAAATACTGAACACCTCACAACAACTCCTCATGGCTCATACTGTCAACTCTCATTATTTCTTAATTAACATTTTGTTTTATTTTTTAATACATTAGAATTTTTAAATCAGTTTGTATGATTTTTTGTGATAGACAAATCACTAATTAGTGTTGACTGTGTTTAAGTTATTATTAATTATAAGTACTGGTACAACGCTAGCCGACTGGCTTTAA